GAGGTTTTGGAACAGATCCCCTTGAGTGCCATCCCACGGCACCTCCAGGATGGCCCAGGGGTCAGACCCAGCCAGCGTGGCTTTAGGAGGGGCAGGTCCTGCCTGACCAACCTGATCTCCTTTTATAACCAGCTGACCCGCCTGGTGGGTGCGGGAAAGGCTCTGGATGTGTCGAGCTGGACTTCAGCAAGGCCTTGGACACGGAGAGCCACAGCATTCCCTGGAAAAGCTGCAGCCCACGGCTTGGACAGGAGCACTCTTTGCTGGCTGCAGAAGTGGCTGGAGGCCGGGCCCAGAGAGTGGTGGGGATGGTGCTGCATCCAGCTGCTGTCCAGTCCCTGGTGGTGTCCCCAGGGATCTGTGCTGGGCCCAGTCCTGGTTAATATCTTCACTGAGGGTCTGGCTGAGGGGGTCGAGTCCAGCACTCACAAATTGCAGATGACACCAAGCTGGCTGCGAGTGGGGATCTGCTGGAGGGCAGGACAAGGAGACACAGCCTTAAGCTGCACCAGGGCAGGTTTAGGCTGGACAATAGGATGGAGATCCTCCCAGAAAGGCTGACTGTGAATTGGAATGGGCTGGCCAGGGGGGAGGTGGCAGAGTCACTATCCCTCTCCAGTGGCACTTAGTGGCATGGTCTGGGTGACAGGGTGGTATGAGGGCAGCAGTTGGGCTTGATAATCTCAAAGGTCTTTTCTAACCAATTGGATTCTGCCATTCCGTGATGATTGGGACACTCTGGGGAAGCAAGGGACCCTTGTGACACTGCAGGGCCTCACGGAACTGAGAGGACCACAGTGACCCTGTGCAGCCCCATAGAACCAGGGGTCCATTGTGGTGCTGTGGGGCCAAATGGAACCAAGGGGACTTTGTGATACCGAGGCCTCATGGATCCAAGGGCCCATTGTGACACTGAAGGACCTGGTGTGACCAGGGGTCCAATGTGACAATGCACAACCAAGGAGAACATTGTGGCACTCTGCACCCCACAGTGGCCTCATGCAGCCAAGGGGCCACGGTGACACTATGGGGCCTCAAGGAATACAGAAGAGCGCTGTGACACTGTGTGGCCTGGATCTGAGCCTGAAACCAGTGGGTGGGACAGACCTTGCTGCTGAAGGGCTTCACATTGCCAAAGCTAAAGTGTCAAATATCAAGGAACAACCTGAGGTTATGGAAGTCCCATCGCTCACATTTCATTCCCTCATTTCAAGCTGAAAGTGGAGCTCCACTTGTGACTCTGCTTTTTAATAATGAATGTAAAAATTAAACAAAAATCCCTTAGAAAGACTCCACGAAGGTTCACATTGTGAGAACTCACTCGAGGCAGCCCCAACTCCTGCCCTGCTTCAGTCCCTGTCAAGCCCATTGTGGTTTCCAGCTGCTTTGCTCCAGCTCCCCCAAAATCACCATGAATTCCACTGAACTGAAACAAATCCAAGTCCTCTTGAGTCGTGACAAGGGCAAGGAGAGGTCACTCAGGGATCACCATCGTGGGCACAACAGCCCGACATGGGGAAATTAATTGAATTTAGGACTGAGCAAATCAGAACCGGAGAATGAGGATTAAAATCAATCTTGAGAAACACCTCCTCCTGCTCCTTAACTTTTCTGTCCGGGCCGCTGCTCTTGGGGCACAGAGAGGCCCGGCCGCGTCCCTCCAAACCTTCCTGGGAATCACCCCAGAGCCCTCAGCCTTCCTTGTGCTCATGCCCGGGGCCTCTTGTCCCTCCCAATGGCTCCCGTAGCTCTCCCAGTTTGTCCCAATCTCTCCCAGTCCATCCCATTCACTCCCAGCGCCCCCGCCTGCCCATCTCGACCCCTGCGTGGATTTGACGCCCCTCAGCCAATCAGAGCGCGGCTCACGGATGACTCATCAGTTGCCAGGCAGATCCCCAGAGCCGAGTGCCCGCGCTGGACTCGGCCTCCCAGTGCCGCGCGCTTCGTTCCCAGTCCCTCCCAGTGCCACCACAGTCCTGTCCAGAGGCCCCAGAGTCCCTCCCACTCCTTCTTAGCCCATTCCCATTCCACTTCCAGTCTATTCCCAGTTCATTCTCACTTCACTCCCAGACCTCCACCCTCATATCCAGTGGCCCCGCATTCACTCCCACCTCTTTCAGCGCCACCCCAGTTCCTGCCAGTCCATTCCCACTCCCTCCCAGTCCATTCCCAGTCCCTCTCAATACCAAACCACTCCTCTCCTCTCTCTCCCAGTACCCCCCAGCTGATCCCAATGTGTCCCCGCTCTCTCCCACTACCCCCCAGCGTTTCCATCTCGCTGGTGCCCTTTAACTCCCAGCCCGGCCGCCTGCTCTGCTCCCTGATGGATTTCTACCCTGCCGAGATCCAGCTGAGCTGCTCCCAGGGCCAGCAGGAGCTCTCGGGGCACGTGCTGGCCACTGCAGTGACCCCAGCGGGAACTGGAGCCAGCAGCTCCTGGTGCTGCTGGAAACCGCCCCCGGCAATGCGGGCTCAGCTCCAGCTGCCAGGTGGAGCACGTCAGCCTGGAGCACCCCCTGAGCCGGCACTGGGGCACGGCCCGGCCCCCACAGCGCCGGGGGCAGCGGGGGAGGCACCGGGGGGGCTGGGAGGGGGATTGAGGAGTGCTGGGATTAACTGGGAGTGAGTTTGAGAGAGACTGGTTTAAACTTGGAGAGGGATTCAGGTGCCTAGGATGTCTGAGAAATTTGAAGGATGTTGGGGAGGGTGGGATGGGATTCCAGGGATCCTGGTGGAAACTGGGAGGGATCTGAGTGAGCCAGGAGGGGCTGGAAGGAGACTGGGGCTGGAAAAGCAAGGGTTCCGATGAGGTTCTTTGTGCTTGGAAGAGGCTGGGGGGGGTCTTGGTGAGTCCCGGTGGGACTGGGAAGGGTCTGGGAGAGGGTTTGGGGGTCCTGGG